CTATATAATGCTCCTGTGTGCCATTGCTAAGACCCTTAGGAAAGCCACGCACAGTATTGGGGTGGGAGTTACCCGATTTTCCAGGTGTTGTGTGTCTCAGTTCCCCTGGCTAGGAAAAGGGATTCCCTTCCCCCTTGCACTTCCCAGGTGAGGTGATGCCTCGCCCTGCTTCAGCTGTTGCTGGTCGGGCTGCAGCAGCTGACCAGCACCGATTGTCCGGCACTCCCTAGTGAGATGAACCCGGTACCTCAGTTGAAAATGCAGAAATCACCTGTCTTCTGTGTCACTTGGGCTGGGAACTGGAGACTGGAGCTGTTCCTATTCGGCCATCTTGCTCCGCCCCCTCTAAAGTCTCTATTTTTAAAATGACTGCACAATATTCCATTTTATGAATGTACTATTATTTAATTATTCCTTTATTGAAGATTATTTAAGATTTTTGTATTTTATTTATATAAAAATCTACAGTGAAAAATTCTTTTTTATATATCTGTGTATACTTACATGATTGTATCTGTGGGATAATATTCTGGAATTGCTATAATGAGGTCAGTGAATAAAGTACTAGATTTTTAGGTTTATAGCATACATTTTATAATATTTTAATAGTCACTTTGCTGCTTTAATTGCTACCTAGGATGTTATCAGAATTGCTTTTTTCTTGTAATTAGGATTGTACTTATTCCTGATTTTTTGTTGCACAGCAAGCAGTTGCCATAGTTATAATCTTAATTGGTTATGAATCAACTTAAGGGCCTGCAGAATGTTTATAAATAAAGAGAAAGACAGACCAAATAAGCCATGACATGACTAACTCATTGTCCTAATGGCATAAACTTTACTATCAAACGTACAAATTTTCCATATCCCATTTAGCTACTTCATCGGCCCAGAAATAAAACACACAGATTCGTCAAGATAACGGGAATAAGGATTGTCTGTTTCCCAGATTACTCCCAAGAAAAGAATGTGTCAGAAGTTGTGAATAATTGCTGTGCAGATGTGTAGAAAGCTTGCTTTTCCTAGGATGTTAAGACATCATTCACAGAACCAAGGTTGTTCCTGACTTCATAAAATTCTAGTCTGTCTCAGGGATTTTTGGGTAGATGACATCCTATACTCATATGCCAGGAACTCTAGTCCCCATTAGTCTATTTTATCATTTCTAAAATATGTGTAGAGTACTAACGTACTTATATGTATTATTTGAGAAATAACTAATCAATATGATTGTCCAACACGCCAAAAGTGTAAAGGGCTATACAGAAACAAACACATTTCTTCTAAATTAAACCTTATTCTGTTTAGAATGTGAGAAACAATCAACTATATATATTTCACTTGGCACGTAGTTTATTGTAGCTTTCAACAAATATTAAACACTGATTGTCATTGTTATACATGTATTTTGGTGTTCAGAAACATGTTTGAGAATAAGCTCAAGAAATTAATGAAAACATGCAGAGTCCTATTTAATATCACTTGAGTTACAAAATATAGCAAACTTTAGAAGTGAATAGTAAGTAGTGGCTGAAAATGAACATAGATAGCACAAAACTTATTAATTACAATCATAGTGGATTATTAGGGCAGATTAGGATCAACTGTGAACATGTTTCTTATATTTTGAGGACGATGACCTAAAAATACCCAAACGTTCCATTTTGCCTGTGCCAGAGAGAAAGTGCAGTTTTCTGGACCTTGATACTAAATCCTTTGGCTATCTCTTTGCCTGATCATTTTGTTCATTTAGAATAAATGACCCATATCTTGTTTATTCCATGAGTATTCCATACTCTTGATGAAAACAAAACAAAACAAAACAAAAAAATTCCCTTACTCCTTCCTGACATTTACTTTTTCATTTCCTGCCTCTCTCTAGAGCTCAGAGACCCAAGTTCAGGCTCCACTCTGCTATTGACTTGTTCTACTTGTCATTTTAAGTCTCTAGGCTTTATTGTCCTTATCTCTTTAATAAGATATTTAAAGAAAATGATCGCTATGGTCTCTTCCAGTTTTATATTTTGAGATTATAAAAAGGTAAATCCCTCTATAACCCTTCAGTGGCTTTCTACTGTGCTAACAATAAAATCAAACCTTTCTTCCATGGTCTATAAGACTTTATATTATCAGCCCTGCCTGTATTTCCTATTTCCATCTCATGCCACAACACTACAAGCCAGCCACATGAGTTTCCTGTTCTTTTAAGAATCAGCTCAAGTATTACTTTCTCAGAAAAGTTTTCCTTGACTCCTTTATTTACTTAAGCCACCTTTTAAATTTCTCTCGAACTCTTTATCACAACCAGTTATTATCTTTGTTTCTTCTCGTGCCAGATTAGGATGTTAGCTCTATAGTGATGGCACCTGGTTTATCTTATTTATCACTGTATTTTCAGTGCCAGCACACTATCTGACACATAAAATGTATTAAAAAAATACTTGCTAAATGTTTGTTGTTGGAAAGAGACTGATATGTATAGAAATGATATATGAACTAAAAAGAAGGGACAAAGGGGCCCTGTGGTATGTTGTAGTGTTTACAATTGTCAATAAGACCCTGTAGTCCACTCATAACAACCATATAGCCAAACAGTCAATCTAAATTGACATCCCAGGCGGCTCCGGTATAAACCATAGGAGAAATTGCAACATTTGGTGACTTTTTCTCAGGAAGATAGTCCTGTTGAGAGGCTTGAGAGTACCTTGGTGTATTTATAGGACCTCATTGTTCTCTAACCAGGGCTTTCTTCTTTTCTCTTCTCAGATTAGACTCCAGAGATAATGATATTAGGAAATCTAAACTGAAATGGACCCCAGAGCAATTGAAGAAAGAAAGAGTCAAGGTGAGGCTTTATAAAATAATTTATTACTGAGTTTTCTGTTTTTGTTGTTGTTGTTACAATAGTGCTAGTGTATAGGACTAGAAAAAAGTTTTTTTAAAAAAACAGAATTTACAATTTAGTCAAGTGTCTATGTGATTTAGCCCAAACCCTAGGAGTAAAGAAGTTAATAACTTTTTTCAAAAGTAATAAAACCAAACACACGCAAACACACACAAACACACACACACACACACACACACACACACATATAAAATCAAACGTATTATTATAGAATATCTTTAGATAAATAGATTTTCTCCCAAAAGTGTATCCACAACATTTACAGTATACAACTAAAATAAGTCCACAATACTTCGTCTGTTGAAATGAGAACTAAATGGGCACTGAAGATGACTGAATTGATCTCAGAGAAAAGGTATTTTTCTTTTTCCCTAGATATCCAACAGGAAGTGTTTTATTTTAATATTGGCTTTGTCACTACCCACATTTATATGGATAAATATGATTGATTGTTATGAAATTTATATCATAGCTATTTTTCCTACTTTGAACAAAGTGCCCTTTCTCATTCACATTCACCTGCTATCTTCCATGTGTCACAGAGGAATCTACTGCCATGTGAGAAATGAGCCATTTATCCAAAGAAAATTGCAGCCTGCTAAGACCCATTCTTTAACTTAACTCATCTTACCATAGAAGTCAATGACAATGACTCAGGTGAGACTGTTTACTCCGGCAACATATGCAGATGCATCTTATTTATACTTCTTACTGTAAATAACAGTCATGTTAATCAAATAACACCACAAAATTTGAATTGCTTTGTGTTATGCCTGAGATGGGCATCGTACTCACCACATGCTTATCCATAGTGTGGGGAACTGTGGTATGATACCAGTTGGAAGACAGAGGTGCCATGGTTGGAAACAAAACCCTAAATTGCAAGGAGGAAACAATTGCCTGAAAGGAGACTCCAGATGAGCCCTGTAACTAGAGCAGTTTTGAGGGTATAAGATATATACAAATATGAGCCTGTAGTCACACAGGAGGCTGAGGCGGGAGGATTGCATGAACTCAGGAGTTAGAGCTGCAGTGAGCTATGATTGTGCTACTGCAGCCTGGCCTGGGCAATAGAGGCCCCTCATCTCTGAAAAACAAATATATGAAAGAGAAAGAAAGAAAGAAAGAAGGAAAGAAAGAAAGAAAGAAAGAAAGAAAGAAGGAAAGAAGGAAAGAAAGAAAGAGAAAGAAAGGGAGAGAAAGAAAGAAAAAGAAAGACAGAAAGAAAGAAAAAGGAAGAAAGAAGAAATAGTTGCACATTAGTTATAGATTTTAAAGTTATTTCATATTAATTCTCTCATTTGAAGCTCATTAGCTGAGGAGTTAACAGGGCACTCATATGATTTGTTTTTAGTGATGAAACAAATGTATTGCTTTTTTTTTTTTTTTTTTTGGCAGAGTCTCACTCTTGTCACCCAGGCTGAAGTGTAATGGTGCAATCTTGGCTCACTGCAACTTCCATCTTCCAGATTCAAGCAATTCTTCTGCCTTAGCCTCCCAAGTAGCTGGGATTACAGGCACCCACCATCATGCCCAGCTAATTTTTGTATTTTTAATAGAGACGGGGTTTCACCATGTTGGCCAGGCTGGTCTCAAACTCCCGACCTCAAATGATCTGCCACCTCGGCCTCCCAAAGTGCTGGATTACAGGCATGAGCCACCGCGTCCAGCCAAATGTATTGCTCTTAATAGACACTCAATTAGTGGTTAGTGAAAGTAAGGGGACACTTCACTTTGGCATTTACCGATATGTTTACATTATAACATAATTAAAGAGATCTCCACTGATTTATTTTCTATATGTCTGGGTAGAAGGATGACGACCATGAGCAAATAAATTTTGACTCTGCTCTTTTGGTATTTTAACTGACTACATATAATATTAGAAATTCAAGGTAGCTTCATGAAGGTTATCCAATACATTTTGTTATTTTTCAAGTATCAATTTGACTCCTCTCCACCTTGGTTAAAAGTTTACATTTTATTTCATATTTGGCACATATCTAATTCAGTTTAAACTGAATGAAAGCATGGTATAGGGCATACGTTATTTAAAAAGAAGCCATTTGTCATTGCAGTGAAATTTGGTCATGAGAATTGTGGCAGCTGTCAGTTCAATGAAGTGCTGCCTACTTACTTTATCTTTGAATCATTTCATTTTTCTGTGTTCACACCTCCATTATTCATGCTTATTCCCGGGGACTAGCTGCTATTTTGTTCCACAATAAGGGGCATAGTTTTCAACTTTCTCTACTTCTAGAAGGCACACTTTCAGACCAGGCACGGTGGCTCCCTCCTGTAATCCTGGCAGTTTGGGAGGCCGAGGCGGGCAAATCACCCGAGGTCAGGAGTTTGAGAACAGTCTGGCCAACATAATGAAACCCCATCTCCATTAAAAATACAAAAATTAGCTGGATGTGGTGGCAGATGCCTGTAATCCCAGCTACTTGGGAGGCTGAAACTGAAGAATTGCTTGAACCTGGGAGGCGGAAGTTGCAGTGAGCTGAGATCGCACCACTGCACGTGACAGCAGGAGATTCTGTCTCAAAACAAACAAACAACAACAACAAAAAAACAAAATCAGAAGGCACACGTTCTTGTAAGTCAGTTTATGAACAAAAATGATCAATGCTTATTATTGTAGTGAAATCAATACTCTGATTTCTTTGCAAAAAGTTAATTAGGATCAATTCTTTGTACCCTGAAAATTAAAAACTCACTTTTTAAAATTCAACAAAAACATTAACACATTCCTTTTATCATCTTTAAGTAGCTTTCAGCCATAATATTTTAAATTGGATGAACATCTCATGGGATAGGACACTTAAATTTGTTAGTATTTCTTATGTTTTAATGAAATATTAACAATGACAGCCCTCCACATTTCTTTTAACATTCATTAGGTCACTTAGGCCATATAGTGCATGAAGAAATAATTATCATCAAAACGCTGTCTCTTACTCAATATGAAAAGCATTCTGATTCAAATTTAATCAAACAATTATTGAGGACAATGCTAAGGGAATGAGATGTATCTTTTTATTTGTGAAGACTAAAAATAACCTCTTTGCTGTGGCTAGGAATGCTTTATCCAAGGATGGTCCGAGAAACTCAAGAGAAGTCTCAAGAAAACCTGTGGTTTTAGTAGCTTAATGAAAGAGCAGAGCCTTTACTTGAAGAACTGTAATTATAAAGACCTACAATTATCCTGCTAAATCAGGATGGGGAATTCTGAGCACCTCACAGTAATTATCTAGAGGTCTGAAAGAACCAAGAACACCTGGAGATTCTGAGCAGGTACATGACCTGAGGCAGGGTGAGCTTCATGGGGGTGTGAGCTGTGCAATTGCAAAGGGCCAAAGACTCAGAAGAGCCCCATACATGGTTTAATGTTCTGCTTTTGCTCTTTTTGAATGCTTACTAATTTTTCAATAAGGGGCTCCACGTTTTTATTTTGTTCTGGGCCCTGCAAATATGTAGTCAGTCCTGACTCAAGGCCATGTGAGAGAGCAGTACTTGGATGAGGTACTTGGATAGTGAAAGACTCATGCTAGCAGTTTTGCCAGCTGGGTACACTGAACAAACCAGAGCATAGAGCAGCAAAACACTTTTAGGAGGGTAATACTGATTTGGAGCATAGCGAATATTTTTGGAGGACTTGTGAAGAGAAAAGGGGGAAGAATGAAGAAGGATGTTCCCTTTTGGTACCTTGTGTCCTACATTATTTTAAATATATTTTCCAACTGGCTTTCAGTATCACCATTTTCCAAACATTTACAATTGCCCACTCCTATCAACGGTGAACATGCATTTCTCCAATACAAGTTTCCTGTTTATTAACTTAAAACTTACATACTGTATTACTATAAAATGGTTATTTATCAACATTATCCAATAGAAATATAGTGTGACCCACAAATGAGAAGCACATATGTATTTAAAATACATATGTAGTAGCTAAATTAAAAAAAAGAAACAAGTGGAATTAACTTTAATAATGCTCTTTAATTAAGCCAATATATAAAAATATCATTTCAACAGGACATTAATGTAAAAATCATAATGAAATATCTCACTTTAAAAATTTTAAGTCTTTAAAATTTCTTGTACATTTTAAACTCCTGGTGTCTTATTTCAGACTTGCCATGTTTCAAGTATTCAATAGCCATGTGTGGCTAATGGCTACTACATTCAATACTGCAGTTTTATATATTTTAAAATATATAAAATATAAGTTAGAGGTCTAAGAGAACAAAATAAAAGTTCTAAATTTTAATATTTTCTGCCTATATCCTAGTGGATGGCCTTTCAGATCTCCTGGGTGTGGAAATCTCACATTGAAAACTAGTGGTCTAGAATAATGAGGATTTTTCAAGGTTTTAGGTATGACAACTCTAAAAGATGAAGTGATATTTTTATACCGTGATTAGCACTGACATAAGTATAAAACACACACACTTACACACACACATGCACACACACACACGTGTACGCACACACACACATGCACACACACACATTTCCTTTAAGAGAAGAGAACCTCAGCCCTACTCCTCGATAGAATGTTTATCAACTTTCACATTGAAGAAGAGTATGTGGGTTGGGATATATTTTGTCAGCTATCTTTGGAAACTACAGTCTGCCACAATTACTTACCACTGTGTAAAGCTGAAGCTCTAGGGAAACTACACTATACTGACTTCTCTAGCATAGAACTCCATTACTTCTATGCACATCACATTTCTGTTTGGGAAGCTCAGAAACAGATGTGAGAAAACTCGAATATTAGTTAGGATCCATCGGTTCATGGAAGACTTTTTGTGCCATGCCATGAAGCTTGAAATTTATCTCATTTGGTGATTATTTTCAGCCAGGGAATAGCATAATCAGAGTTGTGTTTTTAAATAGGTTCCTTTGACTGCGGCAGGAGGATGGATTTA